CTAATGATCAACATTGCTGGATGAGTCACCCTCTTGAAATATGGTATTAAATAAGACAAAAAAAAACAAAAAAAACTGCCGATCTAATCGATGGTATTGGGGGAATTTTTCCGGGTCTTCAGCTGACAGTTCTTTTGTCAACCTGGAATATGCCCCTTGGTTCTCTCTTCTCATTATCCATGATTTGGTCCATATTTTGCGACATGATGCTCGTCTTCGTCGCCGACAATGAAGACTCAACAATGGCCAATAACACCTCATCGTCATCTGAAGAGCTGCTATTGTTCATAATGATACCACAATATTAAAGAGGTGGGGTGAAATTTAGAGTTCAGTCAAACAAATTTAAAGTGTAATAATCGTTAATAATTTAAACGCAAGCTAATAATATTTAGGACACGTGGGGCTATGGTTACGCATGGAATTAACAGCAAAACACATAAAATTCCTTAAAAGTTTTTAAATAAGAAATTGTAATTCCCTTTTTGCCTTATAGGTTGGTAAATCTCAAATAACTAAATAAATACATTAAAAAAATAATTATTAAAATTATAATATAAAAATGTAATTAAAAATATATAATTACATTCAGTGTGTGACGTAAATATCAGTCTACAATTTAACATAATTTTCCAAGTTTTCTTAACTTAAATTAGTGTCAATATTATAAATTTAATAGAATTAATTAACACATAAACTCAATCCAGTACAGTACTTATTTAATGTCTGTCATGCTAGCTGTAAGTGTAATGTTATTTGAATTTTTTTGTATCCTTATCATAGAGCGCTACAGTATTATTATCTATAAACGGTTAAAAACAACTTGGTTATCTGATGGGTATCTTAAGGAGAGTATTTGTCCATATAAATTTAATATACTGAAATACTGTAAACTGACGAAAATGGTATCAGCGTACTGGAGCTTATTAAATATAGTTATTTTAATAATAAATTTTAATTAATATCAAACATAAAAAAAAATCACAACGAAAAAGGATTGTATGCTTAATGTGATAAAATTAAAGATATACCATAGTTAAATAAATATTGGAGTGAATATATTCCATCCTATCATTAAAGGTAACGGGTTATTTTAAAATTTGAATGATAAATATGTTCCTCCAAAAGAAAGTATTCTTTAAAAAATTTTAAAACACCAGCAAAGTTTAAAGAAAATTTCGAAATTTCTAAATTTAGCTGTGTAAATATTATTAAAATAAGTAGCACATTAATGGTAGATGGATTTTCAAAACCAAACGGTTCCGTCTAAAAGGATTACATTGACAATTTATATTCAATACTACAGTACATATTTATTTTTAAGGCTATGTTTTTCTTACTGCTGCGTATCATAATGATTGGTAGATGGATTTTCAAAACCAAACAGGATTATTTTATTTGTAATTTTAATATGCATCCCTAATACTGTAGTTGAAATAAAAACTGTTCGAACTTTTTCCAAATTGGACAATTGCATAAATAACAAAAAGAGCACATTTTACAATCTGTAATTCTAATTTTAAAAAACTATTGGGTGTTAAAATATTATTCAAAATTCTATATTGAACCATCTAAGTTTACTGTCCTGTGTACACAAGAAATTATTTATACAGTATTTGTTACATCCTTCTTCAGTTAATATAAAATTCATCTTACTGGACCATTTCTTTAGTGCCTTACTGTTGTATTGTTTTTTTACCTCTTCTTAGCTCAACATACTGTAGAATATTTGGCAGCCTCTTATTATTTACCTCTACTACCAAAGAAATCGTTAACATATTTTACACCTTTCTTGTACCATGATTTGTAAAAAAATGGGTGGTCACCAATTTTTATATTGTCATTAAACCAAATATTTTGTTTAAGAATATCACATATATCATTAGTTCTTACTTTTTCCTTAAATAATTTCCATGCTTTTAGTACATCCCTCCAAAAAGGGTTTTCCATACTAGAGGCCACTTTTTCCCCTTCAAAATTTACCAAATCCAAGACGGTAGAGCAATATTTAGAAAAACAGACCAAAATAATTTTCTCCATTTGGCATCAGTAGTCTCCTGATCCATGAAGTCTTCTTGGAAAACTTCATTAATTTTTATCATTTTCACACCTCCATTTTGATAGTTCTTTAGAAAGTTGTTCTCTACCAATCTTTTCTGGACCTTTTTGCAAAATAAGTTTATATATAATTTTATTTAGTTGTTACTTAACATTGTCGCTTGGATCTGGTAAAGATAAAATCAAGTGAATTAATTTTGACAGCGCTAACAACTTGATAACAGTAACTCTTCCCAGTACAGTAAGGTATCTTTTAGACCAACCAAGTAGCATTTTTGTTATATTATATAATTATAGTTTATATTATTATAGTTTAAATCAACCATGTCATTTGTATTTGTATTAAAAACGATTCCCAGCAGTTTAAAGTTATTTTCCCCTATCCAATTTAATTTCTTATTCGTGCATAAGATCTCTGTGCTGTTTAATTTCGATCTTATCCATACAGTTTGGGTTTTATCGATATTTATTCTAAGTCCAGACATTGATTTAAATCCTTCCAAAATAAAGGTGGATCTCAATGCGCTTTCGGTTCCGTCTAAAAGGATTATGGTATTATCTACATACATTGACAATTTATATTCAATACTATGTACATATTTATTTTTAAGGCTTTGTTTTTCTTACTGCTGCGTATCATAATGGCTAGAATTTTAATACATATTAAAAACAGGTATGGAGAGAGGGCTTGCCCTGTCTAGATCCTTTTTTAATTTCGAATTGTTTAAGTTAGACAAACATTAATAAACATTAATAACAACAATAGAAAACATATCATTGTATAAAGTTTTGACCAATCTAATAAACTGAGGACCAAATTCAAAAAGTTCAAAACATTTAAAGAAAAATTTAAATGAAATGGTGTCAAAAGACTTTCCAAAATCAACTAACAGAAGCAGACCATAAATTTTGTGTTTTTTTGTTTGGAGCAGAATATTATAAATCAATCTAATATTTTCACCTATGTATAGCCCTGGAATGAAACCACTTTGATCATCCGCGATAATGGTTGTTTTTAGTCTATAGGCCAAACAGGCTGAAGCAATTATGTATGTAACATTTAATAACAAAATGGGTTGCCAGTTATGTAGATAGTGGCTTGGTTTTTCTCCCTTTGGGAGCAAGGTAATAACACCTATTTTTTGTGTTATTGATAATTTTTTAATATTGAAAGCCATATTCAAAGATATTATTAAAAAAAGCGGATAAATCTGACCAAAAAAACTTGAAAAACTCAACGGAAAATCCATCACTACCTGGGCTTTTGTCTCCTTTCATATTTTTTAGCGAGTTTAAAATTTCATGGTACGACAGTTTACCTTTCATCTATTCGGCCTTTTTATTACATAGGGAGGGAATGAAACTAGAATATTTCATCACATTTTCAGCCAAACATTCTTGTTCTGAATACAGACTTTTGTAAAAATTGTAAGTTAATTGTAGAATACATGTTTGGTCATTAGTGGTATCCTCATTGTGCAATTCTTATTAGTTCTTGATTTCTGGGTGGCATTACTTTTTTTCCAAATTAACGCGATGGATTCTCTCCATGTTCAATCCAACGGGCTTTAGCTCTAATTCTACTTGCTGCAATTTTATTTTTTCTTAAGTCTTCCAGTTCTTTTTTGGCATTTTCATAAATATAAAAATAAAAATTCTTTTGGGTAATACGAAATTTTGTTTAGATAGTTTCTGCTCTCTATAATAAAAAATTCTTCCAATTCATTTTCTTTTTTTGTGATTTTCTTTGAGAGGAAAACAGTATTGGGACGCCCCTGATGTCCAAGAGTAACATTTAAAATGTTAACATCTGATCGTCTATTATAGTTTGGAAGTTCTCATTTTTTTTTTTTTATCTTACTAAGCAATTCATAATTAGGAAATCGGAAGAAAGCCACCCCTGCCAAAAGCCACCCAACAATGGACTATACCATTGTAAGTTGGGGGTGCACAATGGGTTGTTTGTCTTGATGTTGCTCTATAATAGGTTTAGGATGCCAAGAGTTTTTGTATCACAATTCTATTTTATTCTTTTGTGTATTATAAGTTAGAAACTGGGTGTGGCATAGCTAAGCATAAACATTTAGTACTCCAAATGCAAAACATCACAGCTTCTATTAATTATGCAATTGAGTTGAGGGTTTTGATAGGGATGGCTTTTAACAGGGGTGGCTTATTTCCTACATTCTCATAATTATAGGGAGATAAGCCATTCTTTGGTCCGCTTAATTATTTTTTTTACACATTTGTCATAGTCAGTATTTCAAAGTAGTGAATTTGAAGAGTCATGCTTATTTTGCATGATCTTCCATTTGCTTTCATAGTTATAATTTTAATTATGTTTATGCTTAGGCTTCTGACAATATGGTCATATACACCTTGTTCACTGACATTGTTATTACATTTCTGACCCCTGACCTATTTTGTCATTTATATTTTACACTGTTTATTGCATAATATGCCTTAGCCCCTTTGTCTCATTTTAATGCTTGAATAAATTAGCTTATATTGTATATCCACACAGTTTATGTTTAGCTTCATTCACCTGAAGAAGTGCACTGTGTGCACGAAAGCTAATGTACTGTCAAATAAACTGTTCTTTAATGTACTAAATGTTTTTCGAGTTTTATTTAAAAATTGTATAGGATGTGAAATTGAGGCTACTGTATCTGCATATCTAAAAATATACCTCATGAGCGGAGGGTTTTTTTCATGGAATGACAATCTATGTATCTAATGACCATCTTATCTAAAATTTTTTACAAAATATGTTACATATTCATGTATAATATAGATCCATCCATTATTATCGGATACACACAATTAGCGAGTGAGGATCTCCTGTCCCACTTTGCATTGACAATGTAAATTATAAATCAACAAAGACTAATCTGATAATAGTATCTTCACTTTTCTGAATATAAACGAAACCAGCTACTCACCTATATACTTGTACATATTGTTAGCTGTGCCCTCACTATCCAAGACAAGATCTTCCCATCGAACCATAAGGAAGTTTTCTGCAGGTATCACACCACTTAGTCGGAGTGTAGCTTCTGTATGAGCTAGCCATACCCAGGCCAACAGCTCATGTGGAGTAGTTTTTTGGTCTGTCCAAGCTCTACGCACTTTCTCATATTCCCATGCATATTGCTTGGCAGGTTGGCAAGTTTCATCTGCAAGCTTAAAAAGTTGTTCTAACTGTTCAGGGAAGTTCCACTGATTGTATAATGAAGACACACCAGAACGAAGGATGTTTGATACCCATGCTCTAGGATCACGTATAATATAGATCATTTTTACTTGTCCTTTTAAAATAGTGTGAATCCAGGGTAATTTGAGTGACCAACTGCCACTTTTTAAGTGGATAACAGACCTAGCATTTGGAAATTCCTGTATATGTTTTATTAAATTTTCCTCAGTGTATTCTTTAAAATTAATGTCTTCACCAGCTTCAACTAGAAGTTTTCTTTTCATCCACATGTCTTTAGAAAAAGATATATTTTTTGCGTTAATGTTGTTTTCTAACAAATGTTGATGAATTGCGCGTCGTCCTCGGCCCTGTATATTTTCTCTCATAATATGGTTTCTTGGATTACGGGTGATTGAGCGCATCCATCCCTTCATGAAGGGTGTCAATTTAATGTCACGCTTTGTCCATTGGCAAGCATCTAGTAGAGGATCAACAACTGTTCCATCAGTCGGGTTTGGAATGGGAACAACATTGGATGGCGCATTTAAAAACACGAAGTCGTGGTTGTTATAAAAAAGCCAGCCAATTAGCTCAGATCCTGTGCCAGGTAGAGACATTATTAAAATAGATGAAAGATCAAGCTTCTTTTCTGCTTCTGGAGAGAGGTTCTTCTTCGCATGACTGACAAAACATACTGAATCTTTGCAAATTTTGATGAACTGGAATATTGCCAGCATCCACAGACATCCAATAACACCTAGTAGAAGCTTGAATCGACGGTTATACTTCAGACGAAGACGACCTTTCACGAAGTACATAAATACACAAGCTATGCCAGTGAAAACTAGTGAGAGATTTAAGATATTGAATAAGAAAGACTGGTTGCCCGGCAATGGTAAGAAAGGCTTGTACTGTGTAGTATTAACACCAAAATGAACAGTCTTTCCATTCCTGACTTTAACTGAAGCATATCCAGGATATCCCAAAAATTTGTAACGAACAATAGGGTCATCATACAAAGTTACTATAGAAACCGAGTAATCTTTCTTGCTGGTTGTTAAACCTAAATGCACTCCTTCCTTGTTTTCCTCAAGGAATCTCAGTCTGCGTAATTTAATGGATGGTCCTAGTAGAGCATATGCTATGCGAGTGATTCCTGGCCTCAATGGATATGTAACATTCACAAAATTAGTCTGACGTTTTTGGAATTCAGATGGATGTGACTGGTGTTCAATCTCTGCTGGTACACTCAAGCCTTCTGAATCAATCCAAAACATCTGCATCTCAAAATTATCAACTTTCACAACTGCTCCATTTAGTTTTGAGTAAGTGCTCTTTTGAAATTCAAAATTAATATTGTGAAAAAATGCAGCAACTTCTTTCAATGGAGTACTTTCTTTGGTTTCAATGTGGTCAAGAACCAGTAATACCTCTTCATCCATGAGAAGTAGACTGCGGTAAACACTTACTAACTGCATGGCAGTACTGTACGAATTCACTGCCTCACCACTTAAATGTACCATGTCATTATCAAAGCTAGAGGATATGATTTCACCACCATAAGTGGCCATAGATTCCTTTTTCCATTGCAACCATTTTGAGCATTCACCAAGCTGTCCTTCCCAAGGCTGAAAACACTCACTTGTTGATGATGGACTAAATGATAATACATTATTTAAGTACGAATATTTTGGTCCATAGAGAGCATCCGTTATAAATGGCGTTCCTCTTGGCTCAAACACAAACATGTTTTGATCTGGATGCTCATGCCCTGGGTTAAAACTTCTCCATCCTTTCACCCATGATTTGTACATACCACGTTGAACTACATCAAAAACTGCTCGCCCATGCAATTTTCCCGATTTGAATCCAAGAAACGTGTTTGTATATTTACTGGCAGAAAGGGAACTGAATGTAGCCACACCCCAATCGTTAAAAACATGCAGGTGCGGCTTGCCAATGTTTTCAGGAGGTTGAGGTTTAATTGATGCATCATACCATAAAAACTCTGTGTGAAGTGTACACCAACATTGCGAATTGGATGCCATTAGTTTTGATTTTGGGTCTTTTGATCGATGTTTACGGATTTCTTTTGCAAGCCAGTTTCCATGGCCGTTTCTCATGGTGAATGCATCAAGGAAGACCAGCTGACTTTCTGGGCCATAGAACCAGTTGCTGTTACTGTCTGCAATGCCAATTGTTCTCTGAAAATCAGGTAAAATTGTGTTGTAGAAGAAATTAAAATGTGATTCAACCCAAGGATCTTTGCTATGATCAATCTGAAAGTGTCTTTTTGCAAGGTAAATATACTGTGTTACAGACCGTGAAGTGTAGCCACCATAAGCAACTCCTTCATCTAAGGATCCATCTACAATATGATTCAGTAATGTCATCGATTTCTCAATCATAATCTTGGCATGTTCTGCCCACATAACACCAACTTCATCATGAAGAGCTACCACAAGACTACCATGTAGAAGAGCAAGATAATTTGTAGCAACATGGTTCTGTAGATAGAACAAACCCCAAGAACGAAATTTTGAAATCCTGTAAAATTCAGCAGTTTCTTTTTTGATGCGTTCCATATATGCTTTCCTTCTCTTATAATCCAGCCTTGGATACAGAAAGTCAAATGTTGTTACATAGCCAGTCAAAGAATGGGCTACTGGCACTTCATCAGTTGGTGTGGATATCACTTGCCATTTAGGCAACAATGTCATTACATCCATATAGTCTAGCGCAAAGTTGTATGCTTCTTTATCAGCTGGGTACAAAACACAATACATGGCAAGTGGAGGCATATTATTGCCATAGATTTCATTCCACTTACTTCCAAATTTTTCATAGTCAGATGGTGGCAGGTATTTTTCTTTTGATGCAAGCATGGTGTGGACAGCATCTTTCAAAATGGCAGCAATGTGCGAATGAGTTGTTGATGCTTTCTGCTGCAACTGTGAAATATCTTTTGGACTGAAATACAGCATGGGGTGTGTATCAAACCGATCATTGTGCGAAGATGATGCTTTGATTATAGATAAATTAATCAAGAAGGTTATAAAGAATGAGATGTATACAAGAGCCATTATACCTATATTATTTTGATACAGATGTAACCAGCTTGTGTCTTTTACAGACATGTATGTACATGCATGTATAAATACAATTATATAATAAACTGCCACAAGGTAAATTTTAAGTACTGGTTGATGGTTCATAGGTACAATATCACTGTATCAATATCACTGTATAATAATGCAGTGAGTGATCAATTGATGCTACCCAGGGTCAGCATAGCAGACTTTATTGCTACATCTTCTAAACATTCAAGTACTGGAAATACGATATGTCCATCCATCCTCATCGTCATAGCCAACTGACATCTGGGGGGAAAAAAAGTCATTACTATTTATTT